TGTGTGTGTGTGTGTGTGTGTGTGTGTGATATGACCTTCACTTAATCATCTATCAAACCCATCAGATTCATCCATGGTCATCAATTTCATGCCCACATCTCTCAGTCTTTAATTAATTCATTTCTCTTCTCAAAGCTTCTTCTATCACTTCTTTTTCTTCTGTACCTTATCACCGTCCTCTCCCGGGGGTCCGATGGGTCCGGCCGGGCCTGGAAGTCCCACAGGTCCCTGAATACCGTCTCTACCAGCTGGGCCTTGAGGTCCTTTCTCGCCCTAATATAAGAGGATATACTCTTGGTTATTTAATCATTTGACAGTGAAATGACGCTCAGAAATGAAGACGGAGCGTGTTTGAGGAAGTACTCACAGGTCCACCTTTCTCTCCAGCGGGGCCCGGGGGTCCTTGAGGTCCGGGTCGGCCCGGGAGGCCGGTAGGTCCAGCTGAGCCAGCAGGACCACGTTCACCAGGAGAACCCTATGAATTTGTGAATATGAAATTTCATAACTGATATAACTGAACGACTGCCATTTGCTAATGAAAGCTTGATGATCTGTTTGATTAATTATGCATTTGTTCTTGAAAAAAATTCATATGGAGGCGTTGACAGCCGGCATGCATATATGACTTTTAATGCAGAAATAAATGCTGTGTTTTCAAGTTCCTGATTATATAATTACGCATATTGCGACATTATATAAGATATCAGTAAATCTGAATATTCAAAATCCTGGTGTCAAGACTGCATGAAAAGAGAGAGAAAAGATGAACCGATAAACCTTTTGATCGTTTTTAATCATAAACATGCACTCGTCTGACTTAGATTTTTTCCTTTATTTATTACTATTTGCCACATTCATTATTATATATTGAAATATTGAATATATTAACTAATTTAGTATTTAATATTTAATATTAATATTAATAAAGCGTCTTCTTTCAATCACACTCATTAATAACACTGTTTAAGATGCTCACATGTACACTACCATTCAAAAGTTTAAGGTTAGTAAGATTTTGTAATGGTTTTGAAAGAAGACGTTGCTTTATTTATTTATTTATTTGACAAGGCATTATTTCTTCGATCAAAAATACAGTAAAACAGCAATATTATGAAATGAAATAAATGCTTTCTGTTGCAATATATTCCTTTAACAATTGTTTGATGAATGGAACGTTTAAAACATTTGTTTGAAATAGTAATCTTTTGTAACACTATGAATGTCCTTGCTGTCACTTTTGATGTATTTAATGCATCCTTGCTGTTATTTTCTTATTGACCTCAAACTTTTGAATGGTAGGGTATGTTGAACACTTGTTGATGCTTTTTCTGCACTATCCACTCTAAAACATGAATTAAATAGTATACAAATCTAATTTCCAGCACATATATAAAAAAGTAAGTCCTAATATTTGCCTGGTACTGTAGATATACTGTAAATCATCCATGTCATATGGACTAAATCACTGTACTCACTGAAAACCCAGTGTGTGGAGCAAAAGGAGAAAGAAGAAAGAGAAAACAACGTAAACAAGCGAATATTCAAAGCAGCTGGAGAAGAGATGGACAAAATGAGAGAGCATGTCTACTTACAGCGGGTCCAGGTGGCCCTGGAGGTCCTTCATTCCCTTTCAAACCTGCTGACCCCTGCAAACACACACAAGAAACTGCTGAACGCACACAAACACATCCATGTGCTGCTTCACGACACATTTGATGGCTAGAGGTGACACGGGGATGTACTATTTATACTGAACAACAAACTAAAAGCTCAAAACATGAAAGAGAGATGCTCGCCTGTGCAGAATTTAAGGGCGAGTTACACAGAGTGTAATACTTGGGGTTAGGGGTTTGTTCGTGATACTCACCACAGGGCCTGGTAAACCTCTCTCGCCTGGGAACCCTCGGAGTCCTGGAGGTCCGTCTTTACCCGTAGGTCCTGCAGGGCCTGGATCTCCCTATAAAGACCAGATGTGAATTGATGAATAGATTAATGTATTTGGATCTGTGTATTTGTAACTTTATTGTGTGTAAATGTTGAAGTGTGTATGGTCTGAATTTGTTCGCACCTTTGCTCCCTCTTTTCCTGCAGGTCCAGGTAGACCCTGTTCACCAGGTGGTCCTGGGGGTCCAGGGTGGCCTCGCTCTCCCATTGGTCCTGTTTCACCTGTTGGTCCCTGAACAGAAAGAGAGATGGATTATGGGTAAGGTAGTGGGGTAGATGAATCTTTAGGTTAACAATGCATCAACTCAACTGACGATTCTTAGTGAATCAACGGCTTAATTCACCAGTTTTCATGTGATTTATTTATGCATATTGCTATTTTAACAAAATATGATTCATTCAAATTATAACATTTTAAATCTAAATGAAAAATGAGCTATGACTTTTAATGCATAAATATGAATATATATAAAAACCTGAAAATTAACAAATTAAAAGAGAGAGAAAATGTGAAATAAACCTTTAAAGATAACCCTATAAGCATTTATCATTTACAATTATACGCTAGTTAGACACAACTACTTATTTGACTTTATTTATTACACATTTTCCAAATTTTTTTATAGTAATTAATTAATTAATAAATATAAAAATTAACATTAATATTAAATATAGTACTTAACATTGAAATACTAAATTTTAAATAAAAATGTATATTTATATTAATATAAATAATAATAATAATATATATAAGTGGGGTAGATGAATCTTTGGGTTGTCACTGAATCAATTCAATTCTAATTTAATTTGCAGAATGGTTTAATTCACCTCAGCAAAGCAATTTGCAAAGTTTGCAGATGATTAATTTATGTATATTGCATATGTCATATGCTAACATTTTAAATCTACAGCAAAACAAATAATTCATTATTACGAAGTCATATTAAAAGGTCGATTTTTAATCGATGCATCTGGAACACAATGAACGGTTGTACATACTCCTAGTTCTTTCATACTCCTAAAGTGTATTTGTACAGTATAATCAAGGAAAGCAATAAAAAAGTCTGGAAAACATACATTAATAAAGATGCTACAGGTGTTTCAGGAAGATCAGTGGTTATGCAAATTATGCAACACGAAGAGCGAAAGAAAGAAAATCTGATTATATGCATCCGTTTGCATGGCAGAGCATGTGTACTTGAACATCCATATGTGTGTGTGTGGCACTGTTGAAACCTGTGCCCACCTCAACATTTGCATAAAAAAGCAGAATATCATGATTTCTTATTTCAGTCAGCGCCAACATCTAACCGCATAAACAAAAGCATGTCAGGTGACAAAGCACAAACAGGCCAACAAACGGCCCATATGTAACCTAATGGAGTCATTATGATTCCCCGGTGACAACCTTAGGACACCTTTAAGATAATCTAATGAGCGAGTGATGGCTGGTGTCAGCCTCATGAATATGTAGCACGTGTCTCTGGCCTCTGCCTGTGGTAGCCACGCTGGAAAAACAGATGGGTGTGTGGGGTGTGCTGTTTTCTAAGCGAAATGCTTTAGAATGTTTTATTCTTCTGCGGATGGTAGATGCAGCCTAGAGTAGAGCGCATCTAATGCCTCCAGAGCATTAAAGATACAATAGAGTGTAGAAGCAGCTTAAAATGCTTGAAAACAGCCAAAATTAGCATTGCACTGCAGATTTTTACATTTCCCGAGGGGCTCTTGCTCGTTCAAAACTCCCTGTCACTTCACCAGGTTGTATTGCTTTGTGGTTGCTAGGGAGCTCTGGGCAGTCGCTAGGTGGTTTCTTGCTGGTCCAGGTCAAAAGGTCACAGGTCTTTGAAATATTTTGATCCTGGATTAATGAAATGTCTGGACAATGTTGTTTTAGTATTATTTATATACTATTGTATTCATGTTTTGAATTTGCTTTTATTTTATTTTTTTCAAGTTTTGTGATTTGGTTACGTGTTTGTGCTTTTGTTATGTCATTTGTTTTTGTTTTTTGTTTTTTGTTTTTTAGCAATAAGTCATTTTTAATTTCAATTTTAGTAATTTTATTAACACAGGTTAAACATTTATTTCAGTTATTTCATGTCAAGGCAACATTTCTAATTGTATTTTTAGTTTTTCATCTAACATTTATATATATAATTTTATTTCATCTTTATTTTAATTCCAGATAATTTGTAATAGTTTTAGCTAACAATAACAACACTGTCCGGGGTTTAGTGATTTTAGCAATTCAGCTTAATATATTTATTTCAGTTATTTAATTTCATTTACATTTTTTATCTAATATTTATATTTAACTTTATTTCAACTTCATTTTAATTCCAGAAAATGATTTTTTAATAGTTTTAGTTCATCCCATATTTCATCGTCATATTTCATCCCAAAATCAAATAAAAAAAATGTATATTATTTTGCATAAAGAACATTTATGTATATACTGTATATACATATATATATATATATATATATACATACACATTTTTTTTTTAATGGGCCAAACATTTCATAACATTTATGAGGTTCACCCTCAGGTTTTTAGTCCATTTTGCTAACACATTTTATTGGAATCTTACTAGAGGCACTATTTAGTGTGTAATTCTAGAATCAATTTGAACATTTGAACTTCAGCATTCTGTGTTCCATTTACCTGAGGTCCGACTACACCTGGGGGTCCGGGAGGTCCAGTTTTACCTTGGAAACCCTGCCAGAAGAACATACAAGTGAGTTTTTTAAGCACAAATGTGTGAATAAAAGTGTGCGTGTCCATATCAGACGCCACTCACAGTCTCTCCTCTCTGGCCAGGGTGTCCGGGCAGCCCGTCCTTTCCGGAAGGACCCTAAAAATAAGAGAGAGAGAGAGAGAGAGGACATCAGGACAGATGATTGGATGAAAAAAGGATTTCTATAGTTATTTCTAGTGTTAACATCACTTACCGGTGGACCCTTAGGGCCGGGGAATCCAGTAGGTCCCGCTGATCCTAATGGACCCTGTAAGACAGGACAGAAAAGAGCATTAAATCTCTGTCTCTGAAGCAATAATCAATACTTTGAAAGGATTTGATTATTATTTATACCGTACCCGTTCACCGGGTGGTCCTGGGGGGCCGTCGCTTCCTGAGTTGCCCTGTGAAGGAGGGGAGGACAAACATAGGAGAAAAGAAAAATTAAACAGAACGTTTTAATATTTCAGAATGTTTGTATAAACGTCCATGCAAATGCGATTAATTATTAATATCGTAAAACTTATGCTTATTGCCTGAGGTAATGAGTGCCATTAAAGATTTGTTTGACTGATAGAGGATATGCAGATTGGTAAAATCCCTGTTGCATTTGGATTCGCTCCAGCTGAGCCGTGGAGACAAACCTTGCGTTTTGAAATGTAATAGGAGCACCATTTGCTCCTGTCAACACGTTTAGCTTTCACAGCACAACAAATGATGAAAGAGGTTCAAAATCTCCTGAAGCCTGAGATGTTTTCTTTCAGTCAGTCAGGTGCTTTTCCTAATTGAATTTTTATGTGCCAAACACTTGTTTTATGTACGCTTGAATGCATGCATGATATGATTTTCTCTGTGTTTTTACATTTGCATGTCATATTATTTATTTACTAAGACAGAAGACCCTGAAAAGGGGCTTTTCCTCAATATGTCATCATCTCATTTCATTATATAATCTTACAAATGCAGATTAGTGATGAAAAAGGACAGTCTCACCTTTGGTCCTGCTTTACCAGTTGGTCCCCTCGGCCCTCTTTCACCACGGGGTCCCTACAGAAACGATCACAAGAAGTATGAGAAAGCAGTGTGTGAAATCAGTCCTAAACTGATCAGCAAAAGGGCACGTCTTGTTTGTTTTTGTCCTAACTTTGTTGCCTTACCGTGGGTCCTCTCTGTCCTCGGGGTCCCGGCTTTCCTGCTGTCCCCTGTTTGTGAGAGAGCATAACGTGAATTAATGGAAAAATAAAAAACAAATATATCTCAGTTCCCTATTATTACTTTTATTATTATTATTATTTTATTTTTAAAAGATATTATAAGGAATACATTCTAATAAAATAAGTTAAAAAAAAATTAAGATATGTTATATTTAATAAATTCTAATAATATAAATATTTTAATTAACAATAATAATTTAATGGTGCTTAGCGTGAATAATGATCAATATAACATTATTTATTCCTAAAGGATATCTATGTTATATTTAATAAATTCCAGTAAAATAAATATATAAATATTTTTTAATTAACAATAATATATAATAATTAAACTGTCCATCGAGTGAATAATTATTAATTTCATATTATTTATTTTTAAAAGGTATTTGTTATATTTAAAGGAGAAGTAGAGATAACTAAATAAATGTGTGCTTTTACATTCTTACGCTTCACTTTCTGTTCAAATGCTCTTTTCAGCAAATTCAGTCATTAAAAATGATGGTCATTATTTGTGTAATTTAAACAAAACCATAAGCAATATTTCTTTCAGCCTAGTAGAACATTGTGATTAATTTGATTATCTGTAGATTATATTAGCATCTCTCCATCTCGTGAATACTTCATGCAGATAGTTATGGTGGAACAAAGAATGTTTTGCATCAACAAATGAATGCAGTCTGAGAGTGTGTGTGTGTGTGTGTGTGTGTGCGTGTGTGTGTGTGTTTAATGGCTTGCGAGAATAAGAGGTTTTTGGATTATAATGTGTTTATGGGAGACTGCACTGTCTTCCTAATGGCAGCCGGCTGCTGCTCTCAGCTTAAATGTGATGATATACAGCCAATAAAGCATCCGTGCGGAGAGCTGGGGGTTTACTCAGGGCCTTTCCCAGCTTTTCTTGGCCATAAGGGCTCTGATAACACACACACTACAGCTCAGAGACGGTTAGCTCCCATACACTGAGACAAAACCCTATAGCATGTGCACAAGCTGAAATGATTACTTTTATTACATTCTTTGATGGTGTTTTTGTCATTTTTATTTATTCTGCCTATGGTATGACATGACGGTGAGTAAAATATGACAATTTTCATTTTTAGGCAGTGTGCTATTTTAGTATTATTTATATACTTTTTAGTAGTATTTATATATTTTTATATTTTCAGTTTTCTTTTTAATTTTGGTTTAATGTTTAGTTTTGGGTTGGATTTGTTTGTTTAAATATTACTATTTAGGTTCACTTTTATTTCAGTTTTAGTTTTTGCTTATTTTTATATTTTAAATTTTTTTTTGTTTTTTTGTTTAACAATTTCATGTTCTTTTGTCATTTATTATTGTTATACTTATTATAAATATTCCTATTTGGGCTATTTTTTTTCCTATTTATTTTAATATTTTCAGTTTTCAGTTAATTTATAGTTTTTCCATCTAATATTTATAATGTATATTACTTCAGCTTTATTTCAATTCATATGTTTTTAACAGTTTTTGATTTAGTTAAATATTCCCCTAATGATGCTTCTGAATTTCTGAATTGCATTGTATTGAATATCTTAAAATAACATGACAGAGAATACAAATCTAACTGGAATAGAGCTAAATCAATTTTCTTGCTCACTTCATAAGATTAATCGAATTGCATATATTGAAATGGTTTATATTACATCAGTCATATTCTACATGTTATATTGTATAGTTTGCATTATGTTAGCCTAAATGATTACCCTGCATTTCTTTCTCAAAATCCACAAACTCGAGAGAAAACCAGTGAGCGTATATCTTTTCGCTACTCAAAATACATAAATAAAATAAGATGAGGAAAAAGGGTGCGTGAGAGAAATACAATGAGACAGGAAAACTCTTTTTTTACACACCCTCGTGCCTTTTTCTCCACTGGCTCCTTGGAATCCCTGGAATCCTTGAGAACCCTGAAGAGGAAAAGAGAGAGAGGGATTAATTCACAGGTACATCAAAGGGAGGAAGGAGAGAGGGATAAAAGGAGGAGAAGAGAAGTAAAGTGCTGTTTCAGCAGTGCATGCTGGGTCACGGTCAAATGAAAAGCTGACACCAGATGGCATTATGGGTAAATCCACTTAGCTTTGATCAAGAAGTTCAAACATGTCTGCCTTCCAATCCCACTCTAATGCATGCGCACACACACACACACACACACACAACTTTGTCCTTCTATCAATACATGCACACACTCGAACACGGCCGCTGTGGATGCTGGCTAATCGCAGACAGATCGGGTGTATTTACCTTGGGGCCTTGTCTTCCTGGATAACCTGGCAACCCGGGCACACCGAGCTTACCCTAAAACCAAAGTACACAGAAGAAACATAACTAATCAGTCGTGACAAAACACTGACAAACTTCACGATGCATATATACATATACACTCACCTTCTCTCCGGTCGACCCGAGTGGTCCAGCATCTCCAGGTAAACCAGATCTTCCTTTGGGTCCCTCAGGCCCGTCTTCACCTCTGGGTCCAGCAGCACCAAGTTCTCCCTGAATACATTAGGATTTATATGAGACATTTCGCTCAGAAACTAGAGATTTGTATCTTTGTTAGAGGTCTGTTCCGATGAATGATACATACAATGATAAGATAAATTACAGCTGTATGCCAGCCAGTCATATCAGAGAATACTTCATTTACATTTACATTAACATTGACTGATGTAATAAGTGAATGTATAAATAATAAAAGTTGCTTTCAGGGGAAAAATACATGAAAAATGTATAGAACAAGTCCCTTTAAATTCCTCAGCAAGCTTCCAAGGGGGCCTCAAAATTACTTCAATTTTTTAAAATAAGACAAAACAAGCTTTAGAATGAGCTAAAACCATGAAAATTACCATATTTTTAAAATGTATTTATTCACCCCCAAATTTCTAGAATGTTAAAATTGTATTATTTTAAATGATTAAATTATTTAAAGCAAACTTCCAAGAGGGCTTCAAGATGTTTTAATATAAGACAGAAAGCTTTAAAATGAGTAAAACAACTAAAAAGTAACATTTATTAAAATAACTCACCCACAAACATTTTCTTGTACAATTAATTATTTTAAATAATTAAAATATTTAAAGCAAACTTCCAAGGGCACCAAGATTACTTAAAACGTTTTAAAATAAGACAAAACAAGCTTTAAAATAAGCTAAAATGACAAATAATAATAATACATACATACAATATTTACTAATTTAATTAATCCCAAAATCCCAAAATCTACCAACTAAAAATGATTTCTTAATCCACCTCCTAGAATTCTACAACTTCACTTTTTTTATTATAATTTAATTACTTATTTTACTTATTTTCATCTCCTAATTGCTGTAAATTAAATGTTTCTGAAGTGAAGTGAAGTGAAGGGAGTGAAGTGAAGTGAAGTGAAGTGAAGTGAAGTGAAGTAAAGTGAGTGAAGTGAAGTGAAGTGAGTGAAGTGAAGTGAAGTGAAGTGAGGTGAAGTAAAGTGAGTGAAGTGAAGTGAAGTGAAGTGAGTGAAGTGAAGTGAATGAAGTGAAGTAAGTGAAGTGAAGTGAAGTGAAGTGAGTGAAGTGAATGAAGTGAATGAAGTGAAGTGAATGAAGTGAAGTGAAGTGAAGTGAAGTGAGTGAAGTGAAGTGAAGTGAGTGAAGTGAAGTGAAGTTAAGTGGGTGGACATCTTTGAATAAACAATCCCAGAATTTAATAATGAAACAAGTTTGTGTGTACGGTTAATGTGTGTTTAATGTTTTTGCCACTTTAGAGATATAATAGGCAAAGACTGGCACTTAAGCAGCATGGGAATAGTGAAGTGTGTGCGTGCGTGGCATTTAACAAGAGTAAATGGTAATTTGGGACAATGTCCACCCACTTAAATCCAGAAGCGTTTGCATATTGGAAGTGAAGTGAAGTGAAGTGAGTGAAGTGAAGTGAAGTGAAGTGAGTGAAGTGAAGTGAAGTGAAGTGAAGTGAAGTGAAGTGAAGTGAAGTTAAGTGGGTGGACATCTTTGAATAAACAATCCCAGAATTTAATAATGAAACAAGTTTGCGTGTACGGTTAATGTGTGTTTAATGTTTTTGCCACTTTAGAGATATAATAGGCAAAGACTGGCACTTAAGCAGCATGGGAATAGTGAAGTGTGTGCGTGCGTGGCATTTAACAAGAGTAAATGGTAATTTGGGACAATGTCCACCCACTTAAATCCAGAAGCGTTTGCATATTGGTCCCTAATAACCTTGAGCGGTGCGCATTTGCTCATTACAGACATTTACCCAGTGCCGCGGATGAGTCAGCGGACTTTATAACAGCAAAAAATCAGATCAATTAGGCTGAGTGAATATTATACATGCCCTTCGACCAACTTCTGGAGTCCTGAATGACAAAATTTCTCTGCATTTTGTGTGAAAAATGTCTGTGAAATAGACTCGGGAGCGTGTCGCCTGGGGATATGTGATCGCTAAGGTGTTTTTATCACATTTCTATGTGGCCGAATTCCCAGGTTATGGTCCTTAAGGTCTTTTTTCTGTGTATGTCTATATTTGTTCAAATCCCAAAGCAAGTATGAGCAAAAGTAATAGTGATGCTCCACTAAATATAGACCCACTGTGATTTATTTGCCTCCTCAGAGATGCTCAGAGAATTAAAGTTCGACCCAAGTGAAAAGAGAAATCAAATCCCATAATTCCCCAGAGATAAAGCCAAACACAAATAACCTCTTCAACCTGCGAATAAGTCTCTTACCCTGTCGCCTTTGATGCCCATATCTCCCTTAAATCCTGGAAATCCGTCTTCTCCCTGAGAAGGAAAGAAAAGAAGATTTGACACTGAGAGCATTGCAAACTTCCGAACACACATAATACCCCTTTTTTGACAAATGCGAAGGGATGGATCTCTATGGCAACTGCTATTTCTGCTATTTGCCGAGGCCTGATCTTATTTTCCTGCTGCACTCTCGCAGGATACAACTTTTTAATGACCAAAGCGGGAAGGTCAAAAATGCATCTTGGAGTACACCGGTTTCCATATTCAGAAGCAGAAATGAAACATTAATGACACAGGAGCAGTGCATTAGCCGTCGGCACACACACACACACACACACACTCACAACAGCACGTATCCATACGCACGCAGTCGCACGAACACACTCTGAAATTACCTTTTCACCCTTGTTTCCTTTCAGCCCACGGACTCCATCAGCACCCTGCGGACAGAAAGAGCAAAAGAAAAAAGATCAACAGAGTCCATCTAAACTTCAAAACCCTGCGACTGACTCACTGTATCACGAACACTGACTAGAAACCATGAAGGTGATAAAAGCTCTCAAACCCTAGCAAGCTTCATTACACTCTACTGTCTATATACTGTAGGCAGCAATCCGACTCACAGTGGATTACAACAGTGCATTTGAACTGAATTGCAATTTTTTAAATCTATTTAATCCTTTGGTGTGAAATATTGATATATTTATATATTATCTTATATGATATATATATGGTCTACTAAATATAATATAATGTAATATAATATAATAGGGCTTTAAAATTGATTAGTCGCGATTAATCACGATTAATCGCACCAAAATAAAAGTTTGTTTACATAACATAACAATATAACATAACATAACATAAAATAATATAATATAATAGGGCTGTAAAATCTATTAATCGTGATTAATCACACCAAAACAAAAGTTTGTTTACATAATATACGTCTGTGTACATATAAATACACACACATACATAAGAAATGCATGTAATATATATTTAGATTTATTTATAATATAAATCATATATAAATATGAATAATCAATTTGACAGCTCTATATTATATTATATTGACAGCCCAATATAATATAATATAATAATCTTTTTTATTTCAGGCTTTAATTGAGTTTTTTATACGATCGCAGGACAGTTACCAATAGCTTTTTTTCCACTTTAATTCAGAAATTCATCTTCATATAACTTGAGTGACTCAGACTGTCTTCTAACAATTAAATCTAACAATGGCTTTTTTATTTGGTACAGTTGCAGAACAGTTTAACTACCAATACTTTTTTAACTTATTGGGTCAGGACACACAAAAAAAATCAGACTGATTTCTAACAATAAATAATATATATAAATAATCTAATCTAATATAACATAACATAATAATTGAGAAATGTATCCTCATCACATTCAAATTGGACACAAAGTCTCACATCAGTGAATTACCTGCACTGCCTTACATTTTGTCCAAAATAACTTATCTCAGAAGTTGTCTTTGATGCCAAAAATGCTGTCTAGGTACGCAACTTTTGGACATTTTGGAAGATGGCTATAAAGTTCAGATGATTCTTCCTCAGGAAAGTATCAGAAACACTGGCAGGGTGCTGTCTCCGTTTCATTATGAGGAAAAAGCTAGAGGCAAAATAAGTTGGGTGACTTTTCACTGACATCTTACTACTACAGACCTATAATACCCCCGGACCAATGAGAGATCGTTATGAGTTCTGCTATGACCAATGAGGATTAAAAAACACCTGCCTTTACACCTCGAGGCCCAGGATATCCGATCGGCCCCTGAGGACCAGGAGGTCCCTGTAAAACACAATCAGTTATCGATAGACTTATTGATCACATCTGAAGCTACATTTGTACAAGAGAACTGTCTGTAAATTAACTCTTCGGCAAGAGGAATGAAGGATAAACATACCAGATGTCCTTTCTCTCCGGATGGCCCTTCTTTTCCTGGGTGGCCCTGTGTTCGTGACACAAAGATAAAGAGAAATGACACGTTATGCTGCAGTAATTAGATATAAAACCATGAAATGTGGATAGAATAGGCATTGAGAATAGATGCGAACAATGTGTGTCTGTGAAGAACTGCCAGGCAGATCACTGTACTGTAATTATTACTGTACTGATACACAAACAATAGCGCTTGAGATGATCAGACGTGAAGCGTGTGTGTGTGTTTCCCGGACTCACCGGAGGTCCATCGGCTCCTGGCATTCCCGATAAGCCTGGTTTTCCAGTGGGACCCTGAGAAGAGGAAAACCAGCATAAGCACTCAGTCCATTAACACTCAGCACACACTTCCTGTCTCAACACACATTCATGAAGACCACCCAGTAGAGCGATCAATACGTTAAAGTGGTCAGTGTGTAGAAGGGTTAATGACAAATATCAAAGTCCAGAATTATGAAAATCTGCTTTAAAAGTATGTGCTCAATTCTTAAATATGTAAGCTTTGTATTCATGCAGGGTTGAAAAAAAAACATTTACAATTAATATTTTACTTTAATGACTATTTACTTTAATGTACACATTGTCATAATTATTTTCAAATCATATAGTTTCTTGTTTTATGGGTTTCTTGTCACATAACAGTAAAATGGCTTTGATTTGGCAGTCAAATGTTTTTTTTTTAAATATTATATACTACTACTACTACTAATAATAATAAGATAAAACTGTTAATAATAAACAATAATGTATTTATATATTCTTTATTACAATCTGCAATCTTTAAGCCCAGCAAAAATAAAATAATAATTCTAATAATTTAGAAATGCAAAGGTTTATAATCTGTAAGATTTTTTTGTTCTTGCAAGAAGCCTCTTATGCTCATCAGAGCCGCATTTATTTAATAAAAAATACAGTAAAATCAAAAAATAACTGTTATTTAAAATAACTGTTTTATATTTTCAAATGTAATTTATTCATGTGATGCAAAGCTGAATTTGCAGTCTTCAGTGTCACATGATCCTTCAGAAATCATTCTAATATGCTGATTTGCCGGCCGCTCAAGAAACATTTCTGATTATTATCAATGCTGAAAATTGTTTTTTTTTTGGAAACCCTGATACAATTTTCACAGGATTCTTTTATGAGTAGAAAGTTGAAAAGAACAGCATTTATTTGACATACACACCTTTTGTAACATTATACAGTTACATGTAAATGTCTTTACTGTCTTGATCAATTTAATGCATCCTTGATTAACAAAATGATTAATTTCTTTAAAAAAAAAAACTTAACCTTAAACTTTTTGAACAGTAGTGTACTTATGAAATGTATTATAATCTTCATCACTAAGAATAAATGTCTTGTCATAAAACATAAACATTATCAATAGAACACTACACACACACATACAAACTCTATATAAAGGCATTAATCCATTAACCAGAGAAGCATCCTTCCATCGATCATCCACGCATGCGATCTCACCTTCTCTCCTGGAGGTCCGATCGCTCCCTGAGGACCTGGAAGTCCCTGTGAAAGAGGACAGAATTAGAAGATATTGACTGGTTAATGAAGTCAACGATGGGTGGGTTAGATAATGTCTGAGTGAGTGTGGCTTGACGAATACCTGAGCTCCGGGGTTGCCTTGTTGTCCTGGAGGTCCTGGCTCACCTTGAGGACCCTGACCGGTGAAAATAGAAGCATAATAATGTGAATGTGTGTGTGTGCAAAAGCAAGTTTGTATGTACAGAAGTGTGTGTGTGTGTTTGTCTCACACTTACAATGTTTCCTTTAGGTCCAGGATGTCCGTCCGTACCAGTCACACCCTAAAATGATAAAAGAAGGATCAAAATAAATGAAAACGAATTTAACACGTTTAAAAAATATTTACACATTTATATATTCTCACATTTAAAAAATATGAAGACATTAATAATTAAGCTATTTATTTGTAAGTAAATAAATACCATGAAGGTTAATGACTTGATTCAGATGAAAACTAACTAATTCAGATAAAGATGAAGTTTGTACTCACGGGAGGTCCTGGGGGCCCCTGGGGACCTTTGGGGCCCAACAAACCACGAGGACCCTGAAAAAGAGAAGATGGAGAAACAGAGAGTTGTGTTCAGCTGAAAGTGTCTGATAATAGAGGCGTTACTGACATAAAGTGGGTAGCATTCGCCCGGTCATGTGACCTCAACATAAATAAAACAGCTTTTTCTATGCAACTTATATAACTCCTCATCTCATGTGCTATATTTTAAACATGAGTACTGTCTATTTCTTATATACATAAACAAATAATTAAATAATGCATTTAGAAAGAAGATCAAATAGATATGTGTTCCACCTTTTTTAAATGTTCAATAAATGATCAAATAATCAAATCAAATAAAACGTGTTAGCCCAGTCATGTGATCTCAACATGAAAAAAGGAGCTTTTTCTATGCCACTTAAATGACTCTTCATCTCATGTGCTACATTTTCAAACAGGAGCCTAAAATACTACTGATTGTGTTTATGTGTACATGCAAGAGCAGATGAAGTCACTCTCAAACTAAATGATGAACATGGAGCGCCACCTGCTGGACAGAGTCTTAAACTGCTTATTTAACTCTTCTATACTTTCTGTCTCTGAATGTTTCTCTCAGTTCACATCCAGAGTGAGTAAAATGCAGAGGGCACCTCAAAAAATGAGTGACATGGATCTGTGGAAGCGTTACGTATGATCTAGTGGATAACAGAGGATAATGCTGGGATACTGTAGGAAATATGAACTCACCGATTCTCCGGGCAGACCTCTGGGTCCGACCTCACCATCATTGCCCTGGGATACAGGAGATTATGTCATCATGACGTCAAGATTCATTTAGATATAGGACAATAACATTGATGATGAAGGTAACAGGAAGGGATTAATATAAGAAGCTCATACTCTTTCTCCATCCTCTCCTGAAGGACCAGGTGGCCCCTGAGGACCTGTCTCACCCTACAACAACAATGGCAAAGACACACTCATTAGTTTTCATAGAATTAATCACCCTCCTTTTTACAGGATTACTGCCAAATAAATAAACAAATGGATATTAAATTTGGCCTTAACTAAAATCATTTTATTAAAATTGGCCAAATCGGAATCATGTATTGCAGAAATAAAATAAAATACATAATTAAAAAGCTGTTCAACTAAAGTGTTTCACCTATTTTAAAATGTTCATAAACATGTTTACACTGTGATGCTTTGACTGCAAAACAAATTTAAAAAATGGACATTAAATGTTGCTCTCAACTGAAATAATTCAGTTATTATAGTTAATCAAAACTAAAACAGAAAGTAAAATTAAAACCATAAAAAAAGTTAATTTAAATCAAATTAAATTAAAGGGGTCCTATTATGCTTTTTCACTTTTTTAATTTTAGTCAGTGTGTAGTGTGTATGTTTGAGCATAAAAAAGATCTAGAACGTTACAAATCTCAAAGTTCACTCCAAAGGGAGATATTTCGTTTTTAAAAAATCCCTTCGTGACTTCTCGTCCGGTGCGCGACCGCCTGAAACGCTGTTTTTTTTCACCTCCGTGCCCAAACGTCTTTGTTTGGGCTTCCGAAAGCGGATGATGTCAGGAAACAGTGGTTGCAATTTATTTTTTAACTCTGTCCCTGAGCATTATAACCCCAATTTGATATTGCGTGCTGCGCATTTTACTGAGAACAGCTTCCACAACATGAGGGAGTAGGCCAACAGTGCCGGATTCGCCAAAAAGCTTTTGTTGAAAGACAGAGCAAGGGGCGTGGCAGTACTGAAACACCGTCTAAGCTGTTCGCCAATCACAACGCACTGGGACAGCTAACCAATCACAACACATTTTGTTTTTCGGAAGGCGGACCTTCATCAAAGCCGGAACTAATCGAGCCGTTTGTGCCAGGCTGGGGAGAAAGGTATTGTAATAATATAAATTATGTAAAAAATAAAGTGTTTTTCAAACCACCGAGCATGAGAGCATGTTCTAGTACACCCCCAAAACAAAATCTTACAAGACTTTGTAAAAGAGCATAATAGGACCCCTTTAAATAAAAATAAAAAATTTGACTCATTGTTCATTTTAATTTGAGTTTTTAAGTTTCATTTGACATACTAAAATAACTCAAACGAAAACTGAAATAAAAATGTATAAAAACAATACAGACATATATTAAAAAAGATATGAAATATGACAAACACAGAAGAAATTTACTACAACATAAAAACTGATTAAAAAAATACTAAAATACTATCTCAATTATACTCAAATAAGACTTATTTTAAAACGTGTTTACCCTGTGACCCTTTTCTCCAGACAAACCAGCGAGCCCATCGAATCCTCGGTCCCCCTGTGAAGCACACAGACAGGAAACAGTTCAGAATGGCAGGATATTAACATTTTATAAATAAGAAACTACTGTACTTTCTCTACATGAAATCACAATTGACCCTTTTTACTTTCTGGCATCTTATTGTGCACAATTCATTATTGTGTGTTATGCTAAAATATATTTATCTCATTAGTTTTACCTTTGGTCCCGTCTGTCCAGGCATCCCTCTGGCTCCATCTGAGCCGGGTCGACCCTAAGCCAACAGAATTCTTGTTTATAAATCTTTTTATACAGAATGATCTGGTTAATAATAACAACAACAAAACGCAAACGTACCCTTCTACCAGGCTTTCCAGGAGGGCCTATGGATCCCAGTGGACCACGAGGACCCTAAAAACACACACACAGGTCTCACAACAGCTCTATCCTGCATTAAAAGGTCTTCAAATACTGTCAAATAGCAGAGGATTGTGGGTAATCTGTGATGCCTACCTGAGGTCCTGAATCCCCAGACTCTCCTTTCAGTCCAGAAACACCAGGAGGACCCTGGGAAAATCAAATCAAGCTTGAAACATATCAGACATATCATAATATCATAGATATAATCATTTCGACAGACTGAAGACAGATAGATATACAGACGTACCAGAGGACCGGAACGGCCCGTCAAACCCATGGGTCCGGTTGGACCCCTCATCGCCAGCTATATGATAATGACACAGAGCAATTAGTCTGCATAGAGATGAATGTGTGTGTGTGTGTGTGTGTGTGTGTGTGTGTGTGTGAAATATAGTGTGTATTGGTGTAAGTGTGATTTTTTACCCTGGCCTGCTGCATGATGGCTTGCATCTGAGCCTCTTGGGCAGAAACTGCAGGACCTTTATGTCCGCTGTCGCCTCCTGTACTCATGCGGAACTACAGAGCAGACCCAACTCATCAACATTTAGACTATGATAGTTTACTTTAGACATGACAGCAAGAGTGAAAAATGTTCCACCTGTTTTAGAAAGTTCAACATATGATCAAATTTAAATCAAGATTCAATTAAAGTACTTGAAAATAGAATATTTCAATACAATTTTTAAATAATATATACATTTATTTTATCTTAACATTAACTTAACCTTTTTTTTGTGGAATCCAAAACACAAGTTACATGCTACATTCAATGAGTGGTATCCAGTTATTGCAAAAAATTGAATTCCTCTTTAAAAATGTTAATTTTTAGTTTTAAAGCGTTTAGTAAGATTTAAAGTGTTTCACCTAGTTAAAAAAGTTATGTATATGATCAAATAAAATAAAACGAAAATGAAATAAATTAAATTAAAATAACACCAATTCCATCAATTTAAAAATACTCATTATATGTTCAAAAAAATAAAAAAATAAACTAATTGCATTTAAAATAAAATAACTCTAAAGTGTTTCACCAATTTAAAATATTCATTATATGTTAAAAAAAAATAATAATAATAATAATAACAACATAATGCACTTAAAATGAAATAGATCTAGTGTTCCATCTATTTAAAAAAAGCATTATATGTTCAAATAAACTAAAATAATGTATTTAAAAATAAAATAGTTCCAAAGTGTTTCATCTATTTGAAAAAGTTCATTGTATGTTAAAAAACTAAAATAAAATCATGTATTTGAATATAAAATAATATAAAATAGATCTAAAGTGTTTCACCTAGTTGAAAATGTTCAGTATATATCCAAATAAAATAACTCTAAAGTTACCATTTTAAAATATTCATTTTATGTTCAAATAAAAATAGGCACAAATAAAATAATGTATTTTAAAATAAAATAGTTCTAAATTGTTTAATCTATTTTTTAAAAAGTTCATTATATGTCAAATAAACTAAAAAATAATTTGAAAATTGCAGTAGTGTACAGTACGTACTGCAAAAACAAAAAAATACATGCATACATAAAATAAAATACGTGTGGTAGCATGTAATTCCAAATGTACTCTAGAGCTGAATTCAGACTAGCATACTACTCTTACTATTTCTTCCATGTAAAGATAAGGCAGAAATAGTATGACTAGTAGTATGACTAGTATGGTAGTATGCAGTGTTTCTGTGCCTGTCTGTGTACAGGAGTCAAGTTATTCAGCACTGTCATCTGGTGGCTGAACTCAATCACTACACTTCCAAGAGTATGACCACTAGTTTCAAAGTGAATCTGTGCTTCATGTCTCTGTATTGATTTTCATGGGTATTTTGTGGGGGTGAGGAGCGGTTGTGTTTAGGGTGGGGTTTAATTACAATCACATGTTGACTATAAACACATATACAACACGGACAACATCATTTTTAATGTGGTGTTCAGAACATCTGGATTTGCCAGGGAAGCATTCCAGAACTCTCGACATTGAAGTCGATACACGTAAAAAAAAAAAAAATTTTTAAACTGTATCGGAGTAACAGCTGGGAAAGAGGAAATTGGGAAAAGCTGAGAATATGATGTGGAATTTGCGAAATGTCTCACTGCATTAACCAGCGTGTGATTGATGGGGAAACACAGCAGCAAAGGGAGCATTATGTTTCTGTTATCTCTCTGACATAATTATAACTGTTAAACCACTCCGAAAATAAATCAAGCCAGCACAAGAACTAACGGCTCTGGACATTCATTATGACGCACTGTAGATCTCGTCTACAGGCTAAAACTGACCTCAGTACAGTGAAATGGGGCTTTAAATTGTAAAAGCTAAAAGACGTGCAAACGTGTATCAATCAGTTGTTTGTGTGTCATTTTAATGTGTAGTTTTTGTAAGTGTGTATCTGGTGATTGTGCTCAGATTTACATACAGGCAACATCAGGACAGTCCCTGGAGGTCCTGGAAGACCGTCAGCTCCAGGCAGACCAGAGCGACCAGTAGGACCCTGTCAAAAGAGCAAAGGATTATGGGTAATGCATTAAACAGCATTGTGATCTATAATATAATCTCTTTCAATCAGTGTAATCAGGCTCTCTAAAGTTCAAATGTAATCTTATACAGTTTGATGAATCACAATCACATTAAGAAATGTTCAGGTCATATTTCACCCTGAAAAAAATTAAATAAAATTTGTGTGTGTGTATATATATATAATAATATAAAATTATTTTGAGAGAAATACAAAATAATTATTATTACTATATACTATATTTTAGAAAATTAAAATGTAATTTTAATTCATATATATATATTATATATATATATATAAACATACTTATTTTTTGTTTTTGCATAAAGAACTTTTATAAGATGTATTTATTACCTATTCAGATTTTTTGACATTCTAACATTATGACAATTTTGACAATTAAACACGTTACAAACTTAAAATTAAATAAACAAATAAACACATAAATAAATATATATTTTATATATTTATTTATTTATTTTTTGTTGTTGAATATATGACCTAGACGTTTCTTTTAGTTTTTAGACATTCACCCTGTTCACCATTTTACAGACTTGGACATATTTCAGAACACAATTTTAAGTGCTGTTGAACATGTTCAATATCTTGTTTTTGTTGTCATGGTTACTTACCCTCTCACCGGGCTCTCCAGCACCACCTGGGTGTCCCGTTGAACCTGGAGGACCGGGGAGACCCTAAAAACAACCCAACGGTACTGTGAGGAACACATATGAAGCCATCACAAACACACAAACACACATGGGTGTTGGTCCGGTGAGGTAAGACTCTAGATCACTGCTGGACTCGTTCCATTGCTCTATTTCTCAAACTCATGTTCTAGTCCCTAAAGAGCCATCAGCTCCATCAATGCTCCAGCTGAGAGAAGAGTTGCTTTATAAATAAGTAGGTCAAGCAACTGTAGCAACAAAACAGACATACAGCTGTTTAGCATTGTCAGCAATAGTCACAGATTTCCTAGCAACTCAACTCAGTTTTCCAACAAATAGTGGTGGTGCGCATTACTACTTTTTATGGTGCAATGTATAGCACAGCCTTTGGGAAGTACAACTCATTTGAGTGAACCAGTTGGTTTGAATCAGTTGACTCAGAGGATTCAATCAAAGTGGGGTGCATTTCCCAAAAGCAACTATGAACGCAAGTTCTATCATTACCAATAGAGTTCAATGGACCTTACAACCATAGTTAGCAAATAATCTTTTTGGGAAATGCACCCCTGCTTGGATTGGAAGGTTCATTTTAGCGAATCAGTTCACTCAGTGAATTCAGTTCAGCTAGTTGGTTTGTTTTAGCGAATCAGTTAACTCAGAGGATTCAATTCACCTGACTGGTTTGATAGGTTACTTTTAGCAAATCTATTGACTGAAAGGATTTAATTCAACTTACTGGTTTGGAAGGTTCGTTTTATCTAATCAGTTGATTCAGAGGATTCAATTCAACTGTTTGGTTTGGAAGGTTTGTTTTAACAATCAGTTCATTCAATCAATTTAATTCAACTGGTTGGTTTAGAAGATTTGTTTTAGCGAATCAGTTGACTGAGATGATTCAATTCAACTGGGGCGCGTTTCCCAAAAGCACCTATGTTTGCAATTTCAGTCCTTGCCAATAGAGTTCAATGGGCCAAAGTTAGACCGTGATTTAGAAGGTTCGTTTTAGTGAATCAATTGACTCAAGAGTATTCAATTCAACTGGTTGGTTTAGAAGATTTGTTTTAGTGAATCAATTGACACAGAAGATTCAATTCAACTGGTTGGTTTAGAAGATTTGTTTTAGTGAATCAGTTGACTCAAAGGATTCAATTCAACTGGTTGGTTTAGAAGATTTGTTTTAGTGAATCAGTTGACACAGAAGATTCAATTCAACTGGTTGGTTTAGAAAATTTGTTTTAGTGAATCGGTTGACACAGAAGATTCAATTCAACTGGTTGGTTTAGAAGATTTGTTTTAGTGAATCAGTTGACTCAAATGATTCAAATCAACTGGTTGGTTTAGAAGATTTTTTTTAGTGAATCAGTTGACACAGAAGATTCAGTTCAACTGGTTGGTTTAGAAGATTTGTTTTAGTGAATCGGTTGACAGAAGATTCAATTCAACTGGTTGGTTTAGAAGATTTGTTTTAGTGAATCAGTTGACTCAAATGATTCAATTCAACTGGTTGGTTTAGAAGATTTGTTTTAGTGAATCAGTTGACTCAAAGGATTCAATTCAACTGGTTGGTTTAGAAGATTTGTTTTAGTGAATCGGTTGACACAGAAGATTCAATTCAACTGGTTGGTTTTGTAAGGAAAGTAGGCTTACTGTGGGACCCTCTGGACCAGGTGGGCCTTCGACCAGCATTCCCTACAAGAACAGAAAAAACACAAACGCATTAGAATAACAGCAGAAGCACAACCTGCAACATCAACATAAGATCTGAAGTGTGAGAGCACCACAGCTTTGATCAAAATCATTTACGTTTCTGTGGACTGTGTATGTGAGATGTATGTCTCTGTAACGATCATACCAAACAGCAGCATCAGGAAGTCTGTTAAAGCACTGGTGCCTGTTTCTCGTGGCTCTGACTGTTTATGAAGCATGTGAGATGATCTTCAGACTGCGGCACAGTTTACTGAACATTCCAGAAGGAATCTGATAGTTACAGTTCCACTGCTAAAATCTGAATGATTGGAATGCCATGCCATCTACTACTGCTATTTTCATGAGGAAAACAGCTTAAAATGTAGCATAATGTGATGAGGGAAAAAATATACAACATTTTTGAAGTTTATTTTGAATTAGCATGCGTTTTTATATTTTTAGCATTTCTTTTTATTTTAGTTTAAGTTTTAGTAATTTCGTTATGTGGTTTTATCATTTTTATTTATTTATTTTTTTCAAGAAAATTTAATTGTTTTCTTTTCTGTTTTAGTTTTAGTAATTTTAGTGCTTCAACTTCAACTTAATTTATTTCTAATTCTCTTTGAAGTTTTTAAAGGTGACATTTTTATCTAATATTTCTATTTTATTTTATTTTATTTTAGCTTTATTTCAATAACCGAAATTACTTGTAATAGTTTTACTTTTAGTTTTTTCAGTTTAGTACGGGTTTATTAGTTATATTTAGGTGTTAAAAAATTAATAATCAATCATTAATATTGCTAATAAATAATTAATAATTAATATTGTTTTGTGCCAGAATTTTTTTAAATTAGACTGCATGCAGTAATCTGATATATAGTCATAAATAACTAACTAAATAAATAAATAATGTTTTTTAAGTAGCTTTTTTTATATTTATATATAGCTTTTTATAATTCAATTATTTTAATTTCTGTTTTAGTCATTTTAGTACTTAAAGTTTATTTATTTCAGTTCGCTGTCAAGGCAACATTAAGTTGTTGTTTTTTTTTTATTTAAAGCTTTTTCATCTAATATTTATATTTTACTATATATTCTTCATAAGAATAAACCGAAGGTCCAAGAGGATTTAAAATCATCACTGTCTACTAAATCATACCTCAAAAATATTGGACTCTGGCATAAAGAGGAAAAGGGAGGACTTTCAGCCATTAACAAAAACTTGTGCGTGACGAAACTGTTGTAAAACAGGCAATAAATGGTTGCCTGAAAACCATAAACAGCATACAGTTATACTAATGAACTATATTAGTTTGTGAAAGAACTGTACATTGTTAGTCACTTTGGATAAAAGTGGCTGCTAAACGCATAAATGTGTTTAGTACATACTGTGTTTATTAAACGTTTGTGCGTAATATTGTCATAGATGAGGTTAAAAAGTAAAAGTTAGAGGGTGTTTTAAACACTGCATATTGTTTAAACATGCACAAGATTTCCATCATTGCACATATGTTAGGGAAAATCGTATTAAAACAGATCAACTGTAACCAAATATACTGCGATCTGTATCAGGACATTCAAGCTGGAAGTCATCAATCATGATCAATTACTGATCAAAATGTGCTTGCATGAGTTGCGTCATAACCACAACAGTGCAATTAACTCAAAAAGCCTGTGAAGATTGAATGAGCGGTCCAGAGCGGTCCAGAGCCAAAAGCACAGGATCATTACATATGCAGAGCTCAGCCTCTCTTAAGATCCAGAGAAACGGCATTTGTTTGTCGTAACATCGTGGTCTAATCTGGTGCTTTTTAAAGATGCTGTGGGTCTTAGCTCTGTCCCGAAGGCATCGTCCGAGTGTGCTGTCGTGGCAGTGGGCATGTTCGCTTTGTTTTGGTGCGTTCCTTACATGCCAAAAAACACAGAGTGGACACAGTGTGTGTGTGTGTGTGAGCAGAAACGAGAGAGAATGTGGGCGCTTGCTGAAAGAAGCGTGTGATTTAAGTTTTTTTCTTTCTGCAAACCACATGGTCATCCTTCATTAAAACCAGCTGTCCTGATCTGCATGTTTGTGCTTTTCCTAGACTCAGATCTTCTCATGGACCTGCTCTTGTATCTCTGTAACAGTACCCTGAAAAAACTGAAACAACCGTGTCATTTATTTAAAGTGCATTTTTATATTGGTAGAATCGAAAAGTCATGGTTTCTAGTTTAAACCTGTTTTGTTGAGTTTGACTAAAAGCACACCTCCATCAAACTAAAATATAAGATATGAGGGGAGATATCCCAAAAAAAAACGCTTTTTCTTGCTATTAAGTAATTTAATTAATTATTTATTTGGATTTAATGGTCTTTTTTTTTTTTTTTTTTATGAGATGAAATGGTAGCTATTTTTATAATGTAGCTCAATTTATGGTTTTGTTTATCCTGTAAAATTTGAATTCGCAATATTGTTTATTTGAGTGTAGAATTATTTGATTTGATTTGATTTGATTTCTCATTAATCACCAGTGTTGAAATGAGTGGTTGGGTTTTATAAAATCTTTTTCTTTTTTTTTTACATAAGAAAAAATATGATGCATTTTTAAATAGACATCACAATAAACATTAAGGTCTTTGAAGTTGTCTTTATTTATAATAAGTAAACTAAATTAAACACTGAGTGACAAAATGTTTTGTCTCATCTACTTTCATATTAAAAGTAATTCAGCTATTTTTATTTCGAAAATGTTAAAATAAAAAAATCTATTACTGTAGATTGACCAAGTAACATTTTGGCTTACGTCTAAAGAAAATATGTTAAGTAGTCTTTATAATATATATATATATATGCACAATATATATTTTTTGTTGGTCCAAAGTATCATTTTTTCAGTGTACCTTAATAGTACGTAATATGATATGATATGGCCTGATCTGACTGTGAAGGTAAGATCTTGTTTCTTTCTTCATCCTGATGTTCATTGATGATAAACCCAGATGTCATTCTCTCCCGCTGAGATTGCAGTGACATCTGTTTGAAGTCTCACAGCTGTTAGACATCAAGAGCTATGTGAGCAGTAGAGACTGTATGCAAGGACAGACGATGATTCCCATCATACAAATATAACTGTGTGGTAAACACATCTGCAAATCTGAGACACGGCAGTGTCTGAAACAGGAGTGACTCGCTCCTTTTGAAGTGCAAATGCAAATCAGGAGTGAATCCAGATTAATCCGGAACAGACGACTGATCCAGGTGTCTTTTAAAATGTGTTTTTAAGCTGCCTCAACATGTGCATGAATGCAAAATTTGATGGATGTGAAAGTGAGCGGAAGATGCAATAAATGCAAGACCACACTTGGAAACCTTCCTTGGGTTTGTGTCAATAAAGGGTTGTCAATATGCCAAACCACTTCAGGAAAAAATCTAAAATGCAAGTAAATGCAGGCTTGGTGAGACTGCATTTCAAAAATATGTTAAATACCGACCCCAAACTTTTACATATGTATCATATAGTAAGTGACACTTACGGGTTCAATGATGGCAGGCTCTCCTTTCTGGCCTTTCTCTCCCCTCAGTCCATCCACCTTTGGAAACACAAACTCAATTGAATTCAATCCAGATCCAGTGTATATCAGTGTAAACGCAATATGGAATAGAACAGTTGCAGGTAATAAATAAAACAAACAATTCTAACCAAAAATAAACTATAGGTCACCCTCATGTCATTCAAAGGCTGTCTGAAACCCAAAGTGGGGAATTATATTGCAAAGAGTGGGAAGTACTGTACGTTCTCCTTTTGTGTTAAATGGGAAGAAAAAGTAAGCCATACAGGTTTGAAACAACTTGAAATATAGAAAATTATCATTCCTATGAGGTTGCACAGAGGTGGGCGGAGCTAGAGATCACCTGTCCGTAGATCTCGTCGGTCTCTGCGGGCAGTGCTTTGTCGCCATCGGTGTACAGGTCATCATAATCATAAATCTTCTCCAGTTCTGCGTCAGTGTAATCCGTGATGGACTCCTCCTTGAACTTGTCGATATCGATGGAATCTGCCTCTCCACCGATTCCTCCCTGTCCACCGGTGGCAACAGACCCCGCCCCCACGCTGGCCCCAGCGCTGCCGGATCCGCCCCCAACTGAGCCACTTGAAGAAACAGACCCGCCTCCAACGGAAACAGAACCGCCCCCGACAGATACAGACCCGCCTCCAACAGAAACAGATCCACCCCCTACGGACACTGAAGTGCTGCTGCTGCTACCGCCTCCTTCCACGGTATAATCTCCCTCTCCGTATCCTTCTCCATATCCCTCTCCATAGGTCAGATCAAGACCGTCGCCGTACTGGGTATCATCAAAACCACCATCAACCTACACATCAGACAAACACAAGGCTTCAGACATCAAAACCATTCATGACTCAATGTTTGTCAAGTCAACTTTATTTATATAGCTCTTTTAACAATACAGATTGTGTCAAAGCAGCTTTACAGTATTAAATAGGAAAATAGCGTGTAATAATGCAAACGTTTGTGCACTGCGTATACATCTATCTATTGATTCTCATATGTGAGAATATCACAAAAACAAAGAAAAGTAAGACTACTTTTTATTTTTATGACAAAAAAGCACATATAGTTTATTTTTAGGATTTTGCCCAGTATTTTCAGTGGTGATTCTCTTTAGATTCGCAATCCTGTAGTTCGATATTTTTATAGTCCTAAAACAGGCTTTATTGTCTTTAAACAAAAAATTTCTGATTATTTTTAGTGTGTGCACTGCGTATACATCTATCTATTGATTCTCATATGTGAGAATATCACAAAAACAAAGAAAAGTAAGACTACTTTTTATTTTTATGACAAAAAAGCACATATAGTTTATTTTTAGGATTTTACCCAGTATTTTCAGTGGTGATTCTCTTTAGATTCGCAATCCTGTAGTTCGATAATTTTATAGTCCTAAAACAGGCTTTATTGTCTTTAAACAAAAAATTTCTGATTATTTTTATTCAATTTACAGTATATTTGTTTTTATTAACTGAAATTAAATATAACTTGGACATGTTCCTGACGGGCTCTGATGAAAGAGAATGTTGCAGTAATTGCAATAATAAGCAAAACTTAAAAAAACATATTAATGACTTAATTCCTGAGTTCAGTAAAATCCACTTTGGTAAAAAGGATATTAATGCACTATTATACTCAACAGTGCAGTAATTTCAATAATAAGAACAACTTGCAAAACATATAAAAGGTATTTAAAACATTTTTAATATATAATTTTAAAATATAATATTCAATAAAATAAAATAAAAGGTATTATTAAATGTTACCAATAAAATCTATTATATCTGAATTAGACTCGATCCCTGAGTTCAGTAAAAACCACTTCGGTAACAATAAAATGGTAACTAAGCTTCAGTAACTTCGGTAACTAAACAATGCAGTAATTGCAATAATAAGAAAAATTGCAAAGCACATGAAAGATATTTAAAACATCTAAAATATTTTACAAATATATAATAATAAAAAAATTATTTAAAAAGTTATTATTAAATGTTACCAATAAAGTCTACTATATCTGAATTTGACTGGATCCCTGAGATCAGTAAAATCCACTTCAGTAAATAGGATCTTAATACATTATACTAAACAATAACTATTTCTATATGACTGAATTAATTCTCACTTAAAAGTGAAATTGTTTGGGATTACTAGTTCCAACTAAACTCACTGAGGTAGAGCTGGATCTGGAGTCGGTACTGACTCCAGAGCTGGAGCTGGAGCCGGAGCTGGAAACCGAGCCAGACGTTCCATTGTGAATGACTGTGACAGTTGAGTGGTCTCTTCCACTTCCTCCTCCTCCTGATGATGACGACGATGATGATGATGATGATGATGTGATGATCCGCCTGTCCAGGTCTCCTCCCAGTCCCAAATCCACCTCACCGCCCAGTCCGATATCCACTTCTCCGCCGGTACCTGTGCCTGTGCTAGTGATGCTGATGGTCCGGGAGCCGTCAGGCTGCGAGGTCGACTCGTCATAGTATGTTTCATATCCAGTCTCATATCCATCGTAGCCGTCGTACGGTTCCTCGCCAGTAGTCGTGGTAGAGCTGGAGGATGAAGAGGATGAAGAAGAGGAGGACGAGGAGCTACTCGAGGAACACAGCTCCTGACACACACAAAACTGAAAAAGGTGAACGTGAGGTCAGCAGAGGGTCGTTTCTGTGCCAACATGCTGACATCAAAGCCCTGAAAGATGTAAAAGTCCATGCATGGCTGAAAACGCACCACATGCTGCAGTCACGTGCATATCATTTCGTTTTACAGGCATAGCTTACAGAAACTTTACCATATGTTGGCCATAACAGTTTTCCGATAGAAAGCTTTTTATGAATATTACTGACAGCTGTTTTAATTTTTCAATTCTTGCTCATTTTTTGTTAATTTATGTTATTGAATATCAAATGGTAAAGCATGACGCTAGCAATAGCAAGGTCATGGGTTTGAGTTAGAGTTGGAAAAACATTTCCAAATGCAGTCAAATACACATTTAATTGAATGCAATTAAATAGACATTTGTGAACCCAACCTGAATATGCTGGAATTAAATATTCCCGATATATAACTGTGCAATTTAAGGCAAGACACTACAGGTGAACAGGGTAAAATATTTAACTGACAGACTTCACCATACTTTCCCAGCTGACTGATTATAACAAGAATTGCTAATGTTTTCTGAAAAGTCATTTTTAAATAAGCACAAGGCATTATCTAATTAAAATGTTAATTAAATGTATGCACTAATTTGCATAAATCAGGTTCATTTTGTTGACATATTACAGTTTAAGGTTTTTACAGAGGGGATTTTTTATATCTATTTTATTACTCCATAAGTTAGAAAATACTGCCAACAGCCAGAAATGTTCACCCTTTTTACCATGTTTTCAGCAATAAAATGTTGTGTACAACCAGCCGAATGATATATGAACAAACCCCTCAGTAAAAACCTTCAGAATACAGATAGGAATAAAACTGTAAATTTTGGTGCCTGCAAGTGCTCCTGAAGTGTAGAAAAAACTCACTGCCTGTAAAGATGCACATTTTCACCATGTTTTTAGGAATAAATGTATAAAATCAGGCAAATGATACATGAACAAATCCCTCAGTAAAAACCTTCAGAATACAGATAGGAATAAAACTGTAAATTTTGGTGCCTGCAAGTGCTCCTGAAGTGTAGAAAAAACTCACTGCCTTTAAAGATGCACATTTTCACCATGTTTTTTAAGAATAAAATGTTGTATAAATCCAGGCAAGTAATATATGAACAAACTCTTCAGCAAAAACCTTCAGACTATGGTTAGGAATAAAACTGTAAATTGTGGTGCATGCAAGTGCTGCTGAAGTGGAGAAAAAACTCACAGCCTTTAAAAATATGCATTTTTATCATGTTTTTAGGACTAAATGTTGTATAAAATCAGGCAAATGGTATATGAACAAATCCCTCAGTAAAAGCCTTCAGAATACAGATAGGAATAAAACAGTAAATTTAGGTGCATGCAAGTGCTCCTAAAGTGGAGAAAAACTCACAGCCTTTAAAAATATGCATTTTCACCATGTTTTTAGGAATAACATGTTATATAAAATCAGGCAAATTATATATGAACATATCCTTCATTAAAAAACTTCAGAATATAGAAAGGAATAAAACTGTAAAGTTTGGTGTATGTAAGTGCTGCTGAATGGAGAAAAACTGTTTAAGAACTTTTATATTTTGAGAAAACGACCTTTAAAGATATGTACTGTAAACGAAATCTAAAAGACACAAATAGATAAAGTGCAATAAAACAAAAACTTAAAAGTATTTTGAATGTTTTCTTTCCACTAGTCTGAAACAGCACATCATGAAAAATCTCAAAATTGACCAGTGCCTGAAAAACAAAGTTTTTGCCTATAAACCACAGACTTTGAATTCACCAGAAACTCCAGCACTATTAACAAAGAGTTTTACTTGTCACATAAATATAAAGTATGATTTTGCACCTGTCATTTGCATTAAATTCAGCATTTCTCCACTTTTTGACATTCTAGCCATTCGTTTTGCCCCGTGGTCAATCCCATAATTCCCTTGAGCCCGCCTTTTGCTCAGCTCCCATAGAGAATCAGTTGAAAATGGTTGGCCATCTCTGTGTTATTCAGCTTAAACTATTTTCTCATCTGTTTCACATGCTAAATCTCTCAATCTTTCATTTAATGCCTTCTCTTCCTTTCTCCATAGCGCTCCACAGAGGATATTGGCATCTGAGTGAACCCAGATGGACAGAGACTGAATATGAACACTCAATTGACCCCATGAAATAAAAATTTGACTTTTGTGGTTTTTAGTCCATATCTGCTCATCTTTATGTTGTTATACTCATTTTACACATTTTAAATATATAATATTTCTACAAGAAAGACTTTTTTTACTGACAAAATAATTACTTTTCTTTAATTTTTTTACATTATTAACACACATTTGTTATCCTATCTTGTCACATAAATGTGAAATATGATTTTTCTCCTCATATTTCTAACAGAAAGACGTGCATATGAATTTAGCATTTTATTTTGCAAGAAAATAATGTGTTTTTTATTAATTAATGAATTTATTTATTTATTTAAATCTTTTACATTTTAAATATAAATGCAAGATTAGATTTGGAAATACTTTATTTTCAAATGCAGTCCATTGAATACACATTTGTATTGTATTGAATACACATTTGAAATAATTCATCCCTAATTAAATGGAATAAAATATAGTAAAATATATCTGGGTGATTTAACATCGAATCCACTAGAAAAGCACAACTGGCAAAATCTGAAAGTTTAACTTGTCACATAAATGTGATATGTGATTTTTTTTGCTTCTTGTACTTTAACAGAAAGACTTGGATATTACTTTAGCATTTAATTTAGTGACAGAATAATGTATTTTCTTGACATTTTTTACATTATTAATACAGTATGTCAGCAATACTGATCCCAAACGCTCTACAGGCTGAGACCTGCTTCAGAGTTCTCATCTCCTCCCTCTATCACTCTCTCTTTCATTTCTCTGACTGATGAGGTCATACGTTCGTTGGAAAAATAAATTCTAAACAGACTGCCTGCAGCTGGGTCGTTTCCAATGAGATGGAAAGAGCCATAAAGAATTAATACGCCTGAAACACACACACACACACAAGTGTGGGCAGGTATTATTACTCCATTTTAATTTGTTTCTCATTCCAAATACTGAATGAAAGCTGAATAAATGTATAAATAGTCAAACAGTGTGTGCTTTGTGCTGTCAGATATGCCAACTGTAACACCAAAACCAGATTATGCTTAAACCCTTTTTCATCTTTGACCCAAATATAAAAAATAAAATTAATTATTAATTATATAAGTCTACTATATTTAAAAAATATTTCTATTAAAATATACACAGTATGCACACACATTAAAAAAAAGAAGCTTAATTATAATAGATGTTATTTTAATAAAATAATTTTTTTAAATATTGCGGCATTAGCCACTTTCCCATGATGCACTGGCATGTTCATTGTTAATTCTTGTTATTAGAGTGTTTATAACAGCAATTGTTTTTGTTATATTCAGTGATTTTTAACTGAAGTGATATTTTTTGTTCATTTTGAGGGTTAAAAGTTTTTCCACTCATCGTGTGTGTGTGCAACGGAATGAATAAAGCATAATTTATTCAAAAGCTGACATTGCATCATCACTTTAAAAATAGAATTATTTCATTCCGTTTCTAAATGTGCAGGAAACGCCGCACTGATTTATTATACCAGTCAGATTCATCTATCAGTCTAATCAGTGATTCTTCCTTGTTATACACGCGCTAATACACATTTTTCCCACAGCAATCCGAGGAAACTTGTACAAGCAGGCGGAGAAAATGTGGGCAAAGTGAGTGTGAACTCAGGAAGATGAATGTCTGGAACTGACACGAGTTTAGAGTCAAACATGAAGAGACTAGCGCGCACACACACACACACACACACACATTATCTGAGAGAGAGAGAGAGAGAGAGACACAGCCGTGCAGAAGGCTCTCCAGGCTGTGCGGAGATTTGGCTGTGAGAGCGACCAGACAGAATCAGCACAGCAAACACAAGAACCACAGAGAATACTGCAAAACAAAACGCTTCTGGAGTCGAGCAAACAGCTGAACACAGAGCTCCAGAGGACGCATTGCATAACAGAGAGAATTATGGGTACTTTTTTCTCAGGGAAACTTTGGTGCAGGGTAACATGCTTTAAGTTTTGCTTTAAGCGAAATATGTTCAGCAAGGATGCATTCAATGATTAAAGTGACAGTAAAGACATTTATAATGTTACAAAATTTCAAATAAATGCTGTTCTTTTGAACTTCCTTTTATGACAATTATCTTTATGACATTTAACTTTAGTAGCCATATAACGTAACATGGGTAATCCAGGAGACATCATTATTTTTTAATAAACGAATGCAACATGGAGCATTACATTTGCACTCTGTGTATAAAAAAAAATCACATTTTAATTTAATAAAAATAACTAATTGTTTTAATGAGACAGATGGGCCTGAATTCTCACTCTGCATTATGAGTCACATTTTTTCATTAAATCGTTCATTTTTAGTGATTATGCATGTACTTTGCATGTAAATGTGCATTTGCATGCAAATGAGATGCATGTAAAATGAAATTAGCATGTCGTTCTTGCGCACTACTGTTCAAAATTTTGGCATTTTTTTACTTTTTAGAAATTACTTTTATTCAGCAAGGATGCACTAAACTGATCAAATGTGACAGTAAAGACATAATGACACAAAAAGTTTCTATTTCACATAAATGCTGTTCTTTTGAAATTTCTATTCATCAAAGAATCCTGAAAAACAATTATCATGGTTTCCACAAAAATATGAAGCAGCAGAACTGTTTTCAACATTGCGAATGTTTCTTGAGCAACAAATCAGCATATTAGAATGATTTCTGAAGGATCATGTTACACTGAAGACTGGAGTAATGATGCTGAAAATTCAGCTTTGCATCACAGGAATAAATTACATTTTAAAATATATTTAAATACAAAATAGCTATTTGAAATTGGAATAACATTTCTCAATATTCCTATTTTACTGGATTTTTTATCAAGTAAATGCAGCACTGGAGAACATAAGAGTCTTCGTTCAAAAAACAGTGCAAGTAGCATCAGTGTCTTTCCTGGGTTTTGTTCTCTTTGTCACTCATGACATTTTCCTAAAGCTTTACTGTAGGATCAATGACTGTAGCCGTTTCTCGCTGGTTGTAGCTCTGAATTGTTTGCCAGTGTAAACATGCGTTTGGGCTTGACACCAGATTCAGATCCAAAATCCAGAGTCAGCTAAATCCACACACACTTCAAACCTTTCAAACTGGCCCAACACACACACAGACAAATCTATTCTTAATGTAAACTAAATATAATCACTGAGTGGTCATTTTAACACAAGCTCTTATCCGAAGCAAATTACAAGACATCCGTTGACAAGTAAGCTTTCAATTATTATTTCACCACCATCAAACACATTCAGATGAGCCCTAACCTTAAAATAACACTTTTGGCAGTTCTAATCTAGACCTATTTGAAATTGGAATAACATTTCTCAATATTCCTATTTTACTGGATTTTTTATCAAGTAAATGCAGCACTGGAGAACATAAGAGTCTTCTTTCAAAAAACAGTGCAAGTAGCATCAGTGTCTTTCCTGGGTTTTGTTCTCTTTGTCACTCATGACATTTTCCTAAAGCTTTACTGTAGGATCAATGACTGTAGCCGTTTCTCGCTGGTTGTAGCTCTGAATTGTTTGCCAGTGTAAACATGCGTTTGGGCTTGACACCAGATTCAGATCCAAAATCCAGAGTCAGCTAAATCCACACACACTTCAAACCTTTCAAACTGGCCCAACACACACACAGACAAATCTATTCTTAATGTAAACTAAATATAATCACTGAGTGGTCATTTTAACACAAGCTCTTATCCGAAGCAAATTACAAGACATCCGTTGACAAGTAAGCTTTCAATTATTATTTCACCACCATCAAACACATTCAGATGAGCCCTAACCTTAAAATAACACTTTTGGCAGTTCTAATCTAGACAATATATAGTCCTTTATAAATCCCTTGAAGCTATGATTAATCACACTCATCCTCCTCTGCTCATAATCTAACAATAGTACAAACTGAACCGGCCGTCTTCTCTAATCCTCATTTCTCTGTCATCTGCAAATATGAATATTTGAAACCGGAATAAATCAGGTCTGTAAAACGGTCCCTTGGACTTTCCACGTTACTCCAGATATGAACATACAATATTTCTGTTTGCATAGCGTGCGAGGAGAAGAGCAGCAGAACAGGCAAGAGGAAAGCAGAAACAGAGGTGTACAGAGATGACGGATCTATTCTGGGATTCCTGTGTCTGAGAGAAATTGATCACATTAATGTGGGACAGAGAGAGGGAGAGAGAGAATAATAGACACTGCATTGTCAGCAACTTTGAAATACGAGTGTCTTTTTCACCAAAAGCTCTCCACATCTCTCTCTGGAGTCTGAACTAACTGTTTCAGCAGCTGCCTGTGGTGACGTGCGCAGCCAAAACACTGTACACACACACACACACACATGTTTCAAATGTTTCAAAACAACACCACTTTTTCGAAAATTAGCATCACATGGCTGCAGTCAACAGAAGGGGGCGATAGACGGCACAGCTGCAAATTAACAAAAATGGAGGAACGATCCCAGACTTCTTTTGGTAGGGAGCCCAGAGTACAACACGTTCCCTTCAGTACTTGAAAGCACCTCGATTCCTCGTTCTGTCCTGCCATATTTCATTTCAACACACATGTGACATGTTCACACACACACACACACACACACACACGTGCACGTACTGCATACACGCATTGGATGAATCTCATGAAAACACGTCTCATATTACAGCCTGAAATCACATGTATATATTATTAATTAAATAATTATCTTATTTATATATAATTATATTATTTATCTTACTATATATCTATACAATTAATATTGTCATTATAAAATGTATAAACATAAAATGATAAATATATAATACTATAAATACAGAAATTATAAGGATTATAATGTATAATATTATTAAAATACATATACTTATACATATACATTATATTTATATATAATTTTTTATATACTCTATTATTATTATATAGTTAAATAATAAATCATTCTTATTAAATGTATTATACAATGAATAATAAATCAATTATATAATGCATTTTATATATATATATATAGATATCAATTATTACCATTTATATTTATTAATACCGTATTGGCCCGAATATAAGACGACCCTGATTATAAGACGACCCCCCTTTTTCTAAATGTACCTTTTGGAAAAAAGCGTTTTAAAAACCAAATCTTGTTTTTTCTCAATAAAACACATTTTGTCTTCAATTATTTTCATATTGCATATTTTTCCTATTTAAATTTTTGTTTTGAAAGTATGGTAAAATGTACCAACAATCACATTCAAAAAATATACACTTTTTGATATGCCATTAAAAAAACAAAACAGGTAGCCCATCTGAATTAGGACACGTAGGCTATCCATCTAATAGTAGCCTACCAAAATCTTATTAACAGTAGAAGTTAAATCTTACTGTAATCTTCAAATCTGGGTACTGTCTTACGTTTTAAAATCACAAAGAGAGTTTGGTCCCATCAGGCTAACGTGACAGTCACGACTCATGCAGCTGTAAGCTTTTCTTTTTCTTTTGTTTTTACTCGCGATCTTTACAACACGCATTACATTACGTATTTCATGGCACACTCGTTTTATGCGTATTTGGCGCCACCTATTGTTGTGGGTGTATTATTGACATGTCAAAGTCTAGACCCTGAATATAAGACGACCGCGTTTTTTCAGATGTATTTTCAAGAAAAAAAAACGTATATTCGGGTCAATACGGTACTACTTAGAATTTAGTTTACATATGATGCATAAAGAAAATTGTACCTGTATGGTAGGACTTCGTAAAAAATTATTTTATTTATTTATTTATTTTCTGGATTAGCATTGTGACATCATTTTCATGGCAGTCTTTTGTGTAATTCTGTAATTTATCATACGTTAAATATGTTAACAACTGTTGAATTTCTACTGATTTTGGAGTTAAATATGACCCAGACATGTTCTTGACAGTTTGTGTTAGATTCACCCACACAAACACGCTCTATCCGGTCTAATCACAGTTTCAAAGCTTGAGGTCTTGTACTTATTAGGTTTGTTTAAAAATGACATCATCGCAGCTGCTTATGACCTCATCAGCCCAAGACACGGGAATCAGGCCGCATGTGATCCGCATTAGAACATGGACTCATGCTGTGGGAGAGATCGCAAAAGATTTTAACGAAGCAGCATGAAACGCTCCACAAGAGCGACTGAATATCTGTGCGAACTCGAGACCGCAATGCAGACGCTCACACATGGGATGGTGTTCGCACACACACACACACACACACAAATCCAGGCAGCGTCTGGCCATTCTCAAGAGTAAAAAAAAAAAACAACCACAGAAACCAAACCATCCAATGAAGTGAACACACACACAGTGGCAGCGTCTGGAGACCTTTAAGATATTTGCCAAAAGCAACAGGCATGTCTACCACTGCATTTTCCCTGCGTTCCTTTTGTCCACCAACCCTCCGTCAGCATTCACTCCATTTCTCCTTTTCTCTCACTCACCTCCACTTTCACTTCTCCATTTGATTATAATGCCATCTCTGGCCCTACAGCAAAAGTTTCTTGGTCTTTTACGTTCAGCTTCCTTAACTGCAGCATTGAATGATGGATTATTTAGACTGTGTTTTCACTAGGAACCATTATAAAGTTTAATTTGGAATGCCAGGAAACTACTGAACCAAAACATCTGTGCAATGTTGCTTTAATGTTCTCCCTCATTCGGCCTGAGAAAGTTTATTCAACCAATTTACATACAAATGTTGCATATTTAAATGTGCAATTTGTAATTTAAGCAGCACCAAATGGAACTGCAAAATATGTAAACAAATACAGTTATTTTAAAGAAAAATAAATATGTAATTTACTTGATTATTTGGGGATGCAAATGTATGTGGTTGATTTTTGAAAGAAGTCTCTTACTGTATATCAAGGCAGCATTTATTTGATCAAAACACAGTAATATTGTGAAATATTATTACAATTTAAAATAACTGTTTTCTGTTTCAAAATATTTTAAAATGTCATTTATTTCTATGATGCAAAGCTGAATTTTCAGCATCATTACTCCAGTCAGTGTCACATGATCCTTCAGAAATCATTCTAATATGCTAATTTGCTGTTCAAGAAACATTTCTTATTATAATCAATGTTGAATTATGTTGTGCTGCTTAATATTTTTGTGGAAATGCCATTTTTTTCAGGGTTCTTTGATGAAAAGGAATTTTAGAATAACAGCATTTATTTAAATAGAAATCTTTTGCAACATGATGTCTTTACTGTCACTTTTGATCGATTTAATGCATCCTTAAATAATACAATTTGCAAAAAAATATTTTTTTACAGTGGTGCATATAGGAAAAATAATAAGGAAACTTATCACAGCCTAACACATTTCAAGTTAAATCCTGACTATCAAGTCCCGCCCACTTTATTGTCTACACAATATTTTGTTCCACTCAGAAATGCAGCACATTATAGAAGTTAAATGTATAGTGAATGCAGTTTCATGTCTTTATGTCAGCTCTCTTGATGTTAAAGCTGCTGTTGTCCTTCTTTAAAGAGAAACTCTGAACATTAAGCATTTCTTTCTTTAAATATCTTTCTTCCTCTCTTATTTTCTCTTTCAGTCAGGTTAGACAGAATGATGATACAGATCGAGCAGACGAGTGTGATGAGTGACGTGTGAATCATGCTGATTTCAACCACACTAGGATTTGACACACACACACACACACACACACACACACACTTCTTCTGACCTGTACATGTGCTGTGGAAACCCCCTCGATGACGTCATGAGACATGAGCTTCAAACTCCTCATTCTGACCAGAACTTTCCACAAAAACATCACCTTTCCCTCCGTGTGTGAGATATTTTCCATCTGATACAAACCTAAAACTGATAACAGTGAGATGCTGCAGGAGACTGAAGATGAACATCTGCTTTACTGTCTACTGTCTACATTTGGAATGCTCTACAGTGCTCACTATACAAAAAATAAATATTCTTCAAAGATTATTAGAGTATGTTTTATGAGTCTTTCTACCTTAAAACGTTACATTTAATTTAATGTGCTACTTGCTGTTTCTTTGTAATTATTTGTGCAACAAAAGCAAGAATTTAGTTTTTACATTTAAAAAACAATAATAAAGCAAACGGTGCTTTCCTTTGCAAAACTCTCTGCTACAATTAAAGGGCATCATTTATAATGTTAGTATGATGGTAGCATAAAAAAAGCATTAAAACACATTAAATATTGAGTGCATTTTAACTAAACAGAACTATTAACAGTATATCAGTATTTTCCATTAAAGCCCCACAAATTAAGTATATTATTTATATTCAAAATGTCTCTCATCTGCCATGTTGGATGAAATCACTGAGCTCATCCCAATGCATTCTGGGATTGTCTGATCTATAAAGTATACATGCTGTCGATTTCGGCCAAAATGAGAGGTATAATTAGAAAAACTGTGACTATGATGCAAAAAAAAACTGGTCTAAATAGGCAGCTCACAAAGTTTTGGAACATGCAACATTTTATATCATTTTAAAGAAACAACTAGGGAAATTTAAGCACTTAAATCCAAATAAACCCAACAGGTCAACTTAATGCAAATAACACACCATCTAGTGTACGCTTTTTGTTAATTTTCTCTCTGATTTTGGGATTCCCTCTTATTTCTCTCTCTGTTTATCTTAGTGAAATGTGTCAGCATTTAAGGGAATTGAATTACACGTGCAGACTCTGAAATGAAATATGATTTTGCTGTGTGTATACGACAGGGGTTTGGTTAAGATTCTGTGGTGACTCGGTGTCTCGCTCTGTGGAAAAAAAACACACGGCTCTTTCCATTTTCTCCAAACACTTTAACTTCAAACAGAAAGGTAGACCAAACCTTAAAGACACATCAGTATTCCATGAACCCCATGCGTCTGCGGTCAAAACCCTCGGGATGAACACTAACATTACCTACAGTACTTCTGAATGACTCACATCCAGTCCCCGACCGTTACAATCCCACAATCCTTCAGCTTTTTCTATCAAGACACACTGAGATTAAACAAACGGCAACAAATTAAATTTTCAAATTTCAGTTTATGAAAAGAATTGCTTCCTGCATACTGCGCTGCATTATTTATTTAGCATTTTTGTCCAATATTGTGCAAAAACGTCTTACCTTTTGACTAATCTAACATCACAAAAAATGAATTTCATGCAAAAGTATTGCATTTCTCTCAAGGAACTTTACGTTTTTGCACAAAATGTTTGCATTTTCTCGCAAAAGTATTGTATTTCTCTCAAGAAACGTTGCGCTTCCTCAAAATATATTTGCGTTCTCTCGCAGAAATATTGCATTTCTCTCAAGAAACGTTGCGTTTTCTCACAATATTTTGCATTCTCTCGCAAAAAATATTGTATTTCTCTCAAGAAACGTTATGTTTTCTCACAAAATATTTGCATTCTCTTGCAAAAGTATTGTATTTCTCTCAAGAAACGTTGCATTTTCTCACAATATTTTGCATTCTCTCGCAAAAATATTGTATTTCTCTCAAGAAACGTTGCGTTTTCTCACAATATTTTGCGTTCTCTCACAAAAGTATTGCATTTCTCTCAAGAAACGTTGCGTTTTCTCACAATATTTTGCGTTCTCTCACAAAAGTATTGCATTTCTCTCAAGAAACGTTGCGTTTTCTTGCTAAATATTTGCATTCCCTCCCAAAAGTATTGCATTTCTCTCAAGAAACGTTGCGTTTTCTCACAAAATATTTGCAATCTCTCGCAAAAGTATTGCATTTCTCTCAAAAAATGTTGCATTATCTCGCAAAAGTATTACATACCCCCCAAAAAACTTTGCATTCTCTTGCAAAAATTTGCATTTTCTAGCAAAAGTACTACGTTCACTCAAGAAACTTGCTTTTACTCGCAAAATACTTGGATTCTCTCACAAAAGTGTTGCATTCAGGAAGTTTTTTTTTTTTCTGAAAGAAATTTATATTTTTATTCAACACGAATGCAACAAATTGACCAAAACTTTATTGAGCTTTATAAGACATTAATAATGTTACAAAAGATTGTTACAACATTCATAATAATAATAAATGTCTCATGAGCAGCAAATCAGCATTTCTGAAGGATCATATGACACTGAAGCCTTGAGTAAAGATGCAGAAAATTCAGCTTTGCATCACAGAAATAAATTATATTTTCAAATAAATTTAAATTGAAAATAGTTCTTTTAAATTGTAATGATATTTCACAATACTACCGATTTTACTGTATTTACTAAATAAAATAAAACAATTTACTGTATTGTATATACAAATAAATACAGCCTTGGTGAGCATAAGCGACTTCTTTTAAAAACATAAAAAATCCTAGAGACCCAAATAGTAGTGTATTTAAGACCTAAATGTAATCTTTTGTTTGCTTAAAAATGCAAACTTTCTGTCACCGCCTTTAACCTGATAACATATTTGAATCTAAACCTGACAGTAATTTTTGAAGCTTGAAAGCTCCTTGTTCCTGTCTGGAAAAAAGCAGCTTTTAGACTGACATTTTTGGGTGAACTGTCCCTTTAAGACTGAACTTTAAGTCCAGTCAAACTTCAAAAAACAAAGAAAGAGAAGGAAAAAAAGGGTCAAATTAAACAGTCTCTTTCTAAAATGAGAAAAACAGACATGACTTCTCTCTCTCTCACACACACACACACATACACAACATGTGCCAAACAGATGCCCGTCGCCAGGACCTCTGGGAAAATCTAGGCTGCTTGAGGAAGTGAGTTTTCCAATCATTCAAAAGACAAAGCATCCATACATGTGTGCAGTAAACACACCTGATGATTGCTGCAGTGTTTAGTGTGTTTATGCTTTAATCAACTGCACAGGTTTAGAGTCCATTACTGGACTTCATAAAGTGTCTAATGATTTAGAAAGAACATGTTACTAAAAACTCTCAGACGGCCTTCCTGGAATCCTGTCTCCATGTCTAACTCCTCCTTTTCTCCTCTGTTTATGTCTGGAGATATTTTTTGAGTCTTCAGATGTGATTCTACTCGAGTCACACCATTACAGACAGTCTACATCTCTAAAAACCTCATAAAACATTCATCTCATAAAACACTAATGAGGTTATTTGAGGTCTGATCTGCACATATTTCTGAATGTTAATAATCTGAGTTGTCCAAGAACAAGAACAGAGAGGTTAATTTCTGCTTTTGTTTACATTAAGTGCTTAATTTCACACAATGTGTGTATAAATGTCAAAAAACAAAGCCACCAGATGAACCTCAAGATTTACCGTCTGACTGAAATGGAAATTTTTTAAATCAAAGGGAGGCATTTATCTAAAAAACAAGCTGTGCAGAAAACCGCCACTGAAAACAACCTTAATTTAAATAACAGTCAATGAGCAAGCATTGAACATTATATTCTAGATCTAGATATTTTCTAGAATTCGTGTTACTATTTCATAAAAAAAAGTAGATTTGCGATATATTAACATGAAATTGTGATCAATTTAAATCTCAATTTAAGTCTCAATTACCTTTTTTATTACCTTATGGCGGAAACGGACTTCCATGTACAACAGCCATTAAATAGTAATACAATATAGCATATATTCTGTATCACAAAATGTCTTTCTAAGAGATTCTACACTGGTTTAATTCTTTGTGAGATATTCTAGATATTTCCCTGCTGTTAAAGTGATTTTCAGAAACAGATATTCTAGATCACTTCGCCCCTGTGAGAAGCCAAACCATTTTTATCACTAGGGCTGGGTAAAAAATATCGATTTCTCGATATTAATCGATTCTCATTTTTACGGAACGATATCGATTCCTAAATCCCAAGAATTGATTAGTCTAGCCTGTTTTCGGTTAATGGACGGAACATTGAAGTGTACTTCCCATCCAATAAATCGCAATAAGCATAGGCGGAGGGTGAACCAACTCCAGGGTAAGGCTAAAAGCAGCCAAATGTATTAAACATCATAAACCCGTCTTTTCAGGCAAGAACCAGACATGGGTGTCATGTAGGCTAAAAATTTTTTTAATGGGACTGAATTTGTATTTAACGTGATTACAATGTAATAAAAACGTTAGAAATTGATAATTATATAACGTTTCCTTTCCACGGTTATTCAAACAGAGAATAAATTATATATAGAAAGTGACATTATCACTAACTTTAATCTATCGCGAGTTTAAGCACTCTCAAAAAAACAAAACTATCGTTATAAACCACTGAAGCTGTATACACTGTGAAATGAATCTCGATTCTCTTACTTACATTGTATGTACATCTGCGCTTTGTTGTTTATGATGAGAGAATTTGCAAGAGTCCAGAATGCGCACGCACTCAACAAAACTGATTCACTTTGTTAGCAACAGACGTAATAGATTTAATTTGTCTGTGCAGGGGCATTTTTGCCCCGAGTCCCTGACTCCCCGTGGCCAGGGGAAGGCTAAGCCTTACACACCTATGGGTCAGAGGATGTGAGCGACGCTCCTGACCAGCACACAGTCAGCTCAGTTCCCACTGCAATTAACCTTCCAGACACTCAGGTTAGGATCAGAGGATGAGAACAGCTTAAAACTGGATCAGGAGAAGTTAAAGGAATGACACACAATCCAGACCTCTGCACTGGCTTCATGCCATGTGAGCGAGATGCTTTTTCATCTTCTTATTCTGGATTTCAACTCACAATCAGTGCAGAAAAGTTACCTAAGGTAACTTTTTGGAAAGTTTAAAACAAAGAAAAGTTATAAAATAAAGAATATATATTGCAAAGATACAGTGTTGGGCAAGCTACTTGGAAAATGTAGTGAGCTAAGCTAACAGTTACTCTTCATTAAATGAAGCTTCACTACACTAAAGCTATAGAT